GGAACAGGCCTGGCATGAACTGCTGTGGGTCAACGGGGTTGGTGCTTGAGGTCCTGGGCAGCAGGAGCCAGCTGAAAGCAGGATTTCACGGAATCATAGGACAGTTTCGCTTGGAAGGGACCTTAAAGCCCCCCCCCGCCATGGGCAGGGACACCCCCCACCAGACCAGGCTGCTCCAAGCCTCATCCAGCCTGGCCTTGGACATTCCCAGGGATGGGGCATCCGCAGCTTCTCTGGGCAACCTGTCCCAGTGCTCCCCACCCTCTACGGGAAGGATTCCTTCCTGCTGTCCCATCCCCATCTCCGCACCAAGTCCTGGGGGCGCTGAATGCTTCCATGTGTGTTCCATAAGCCCTGTTGAATGCTGTTTGTTCAACACAAAACCAATAATTAAATTAATATAGTAAAATAATGTTGTATTTTACATACCTCACAACTCCTTTAAACTGTTTTCTCTCTCTGTGGCTTTTTACTGCTTTTTAAATGTATAATGACTAAAGTGTTAATGAATTTCTGAACTGAGAAGAAAAAGTACTCCCCAAATCAGAGTAACAGTTTTAAAATAAATATTTCTCCTCTAGGGGTAGTACCTAGTAAGCTGTCATGATGATTTTTTCACATTATCAGCTTAGAAATAATTGCAGTACTTGTGAAATTCTTGTCAAAGCTTGATTAGAGTTTACAATACTTTTGCACATAAATTTCTGCCTAATTTTGCTAATTGTTTTGTGAATCAAAGTGAACTAGTACCTCAGAGCTTTTCCCAAGAGCAGCTTAAGGAAGCTATTAATTACAGTAACAGTTTAAATTAGTTAACAAAATTAATACGGGCTGAAGAATGGCTCTGGTTGACTCTTCTGTTTGCAATTGTATTTCCTCTAATTAATACATTTATTCACACACAATGTGGGTTGAGTCTGTGGTGTAGAAGCAAAGTAGAATTCAGTTCGAGTGGCAACTTTCCTAAGTACTCTTGTTTTAACTCATATTACAGAATTCCGTGTGACATTTTGCTCAAATCCATCTAGGCTTTTGTCACACATGTAGAATTAAGTTGATATAGTCCTTGTTCCTAAGATTTATAGCTTTCTTTGAAAAATGGTGTGATTTGTGAAGCATCACTTTAAATAATTGCTGTGGCAGGCAATAGCAGCAGCTGCAGCAGAGATGACTGAGTACAACGGTGAAAGTGGGATCAGTGGACCCTCCGATAGTTCTTCAGAAGCATCCAAGCTTAGCTCAAAAAGTGCCAAAGACAGGAGAAATAGAAGGAAGAAAAGAAGGCAGAGGGAGCTCTCTGGAGAAGAGGATGACATGAAGGATGAAAAACTTCCAAAATCTGAATCAGATGGCAGTATCAGAAGGAAAGGTTTCCGTTTTTCTTTCGAAGGAAACAGACTTGCTTATGGGAAGCCATTCACATCACCCCACCAGGTACTGTGAATAGCGCAGATGTCGTTCTGGGGGTTTGTGAGATTATTGTAATATCCAGCAAACTTCACTGCAACATTGCAAAGTAATATAACCAAGAAAAAATAGTGTTGCATTGTTTTAAATACTGACTTGCTGTTGGTATTTTTTTCTCTAGTGTGCCTAAAGAAGTGTTTTGATTTCCTTTATTGTTTAAGATCTGGTGGGTTTTAACCTGCAGAGCAGCATTGCATTTCCCAGTTAGTTTGAAATAGAAATCCCTTTCTAATTCATAAAAGGAAAAATTATGTGTTATTTATCAGTATAGAAGACTAAGGGTGTTGGTATCTTTTAACATATTGCATGATCTACATGGATCATTAGAATTTCTAGAAATCTTGATTTTTCGTTTCAATACAGAGATGGAAATTACCATGGCCTTGTGCATGTTCATTTTTTCTCTCCAGTAATTGTTGTAGGTATACTGTAAATTTACCTATTCAGATGTTTCTCCTCTCTAGTGCACGTCTGAAATCTATTTAAGTCTCTATTAAAAATATCACTAACAGATTGCAGCAGATTTTATTTCTTTTTAATAAATAGACATGTGTTTTGTATATTTAAAATACTCAGCTGGTCATTTTGTTTCTTTCCTTTGCAGTCTTTACTGAGTGTTCGTGGCTCCCTGTTTTCTCCCAGACGTAGTAGCAGAACAAGTCTTTTCAGTTTTAGAGAATATGGAAGAGAGATAGGATCTGAAAATGACTTTGCTGATGATGAGCACAGCACATTTGAGGATAATGGGAGCAGAAGAGGTTCTGTCTTTCTGCCACGCAGACACGGTGAACGGCGCAGCAGTAACATCAGTCAGACTAGCAGGTCATCGAGAAGGCTGACAGTGTTTCCAGTGAATGGGAAGATGCACAGCACTGTGGATTGCAATGGAGTGGTTTCGTTAGTGGATAGACCACCAAGTCTGTTGTCACCTACTGGACAGCTTCTGCCAGAGGTGATAATAGATAAGCTGACCACTGATGACAATGTAAGAAAGTCTTGAATTACTCCAGGTTTCATGACCTTTCTTTATTGAATCAGACAATATTTTGCCGGAGTGAAGTGCTTTGAAAATGGTTGAGAAGTTGTGAATGCTTTTGAATATCTTACTGTAATGAAATGGGTTTACAGTGATTCACTCAAAATGAGGCTGAAGCATGAAAATGAAAGAAAACAAAGTAGCACATTTTTATGTGTCTTCAGAGGCAGGATATGCATGCACCACAGTGAATCCAGTTAGTAATGTTCCATTGCTAAATCTGTTTTAGAACCCAAAATAGGGTGCTCAGCTTTCTAAATATTCTGCATATTATTGTGTTGTTTAATTTTTTTTCTTTCTTTATGGTTTCAATCTATTTCCTAATTCTCTATCAGTAATCTGCTGGTTCTATTCCCCTCCCACCAGCTCCCATATATTTGGTATTTTGCAAATGTAGCATGGCCTTTAAGATTATTTTGACATTTAGAAGGTCTGAAACCTTTTTTTTTCTCCTGGGTCTCAGAGGTGATCTGTGTTTCTCACTGCCTAGGAACAGGGTATGATTTCTCCCTCTGGTCAGTTTTCTCTTTTGGCTCAATCTCTTTAGGAGTGCAACAGAGGGTTGCATTTTTTTTTTTTTTCGTGGAAACCTTCTTTTATTGAGACACTATTTTTTACAGTCTCAGCATCTGAAAATACCTCAGCCAGAATCCTTACAGTTATAAATCATCTTGTAGTTTATTATAATTTGACTTTCATACATTTATTTGTTTTACTGAAAAATAAATATCTACCCTTGCTCATACAATCAAAACTTATTAATAACTGAGGTGTGAACTATAAAACAGCTTTTGATTTTTTAAAATAAAATAATTTTTTAAAAATATTCATTTTCTGGGTCAATTTAGTTGCACTTCTTTTGTTTCTTCAGTAGAAATTTATAAAATAAATTAGAAAAGATAGCTATTGAGTGTAAAAGATCTCCTTTAAATTCATTTTGAATGCCAATAGACATCAAGAATGGTCTATAAAAAATAGTCTTAGACAACAATTGTTATCGCAGAAAACTTCCTAGCATAAATCACATCTTATCAGTGTGTTGTGATTGAACTAGTTTGGAAATGAAATATTGGTAGAGAAAGCATGAAACTGGCAACTTTTCCTATTCCAGTGCTGTAACAGTCTTGGGTATTTTTCTTGGCTGTGGCCTCCTCCGAAGTCTTTTTGTGTCTAATGCAGAGTTAATACCAGTTAACTATAATGGAATGGTAATGTGGTAACTAAATATCAAAATATATTTTTTAAAATATTTTTTATGTATTAACAGCATTCAGAAGTATAACATGAAAATAGCCATTTAAAACAAATGCTAGGCTAATTTTATATGTGTAATGGAAAAAACCCTGATGTAACAACATTTAAATACAAAGCTTTATATATTATGAATTCATTGAAACTGAAGTCTTCTTGATACCTGTTTTACACTATTTCTAAAGCTGAGTTTAATTTACGCCCGTTTTTTTTTTTTTTTTTTTTTTTTTAAATAGAGCACTACTACAGAAATAGAAATAAAAAAGAGGCGTGCAAGTTCATATCAAATACCAATGGAGTTGCTGGAGGATCCCAATTTAAGGCAAAGAGCTATGAGTATAGCTGGCATTATCACAAATACAATGGAAGGTGTGTTGTAACTTCAGACACATGAACTTCTTGACAGTCTTAGACTTGCTTGAACATATTGTATCACAGTGCAAATACAAAAGAAAAAAAATATGTAGCCATTGCAAGTACATAAACTGAGTAATAAAACAAAATTGCATGTATCTAGTGAAAAAAAAACCATGAAGGAATCTGATAGGCAGTCTAAACTAAGAAACACATTCTAATTAAAATAGATAACATGCATGTGTTTTATACTAGTTATTTATGTTTAACAATACTCTTATCAGAAGAAATACCTTGTGATGAATTTTCCACTAACTATACTATGAAAATGCTACGGAACATTAAAGGCCAGGCCTTAGTTAATAAGGAGAAGGAAAATTGTAGTAGGATTATTTGGAATGGTGAAATCACTACTAGTGAAATTCTTGAAGAAGCTTAAATAGTTTTCAAAAAACTTATTTGTGGTTCAGTTAATTATATTTTTCCTTCAAATAAGTAATTAAACATTTAAAACCGTGAAGTTAGAAGTTTTACTGAGAAAACTATCTCTAAATGTAAGCATAAATGGTTTGTGTTTTTTAAAACAATAGTTTTATCTTCATTCCCTGGAACCATTACAGATGATTGGAGAAACCTCCTTAGATTTCCAGGAACTTAACTTACTGAAAATGTCTGATATTAAAAATAGGCAACATTTTCAGTCTTAGCTCAAAACCTGAGGTTTTTCTTTGGGTCTTTTAAAATCTTTTCAGTCAGCAACAGTAAGTTAAGTTCCCAGAAATCTAAGGTGGTTCCTCCAAACATCCGTAATGGTTCCAGGGAATAAAGATTGAACTCTGAAAAAGCAGATAAACAAAAAATCTTTCTTCACTTTCTCCAAAATTTGTTCACTATACATATCTTTTCTTCCCAGAACTTGAAGAATCCAGGCAAAAATGTCCACCTTGTTGGTATAAGTTTGCCCACACTTTCTTAATTTGGGATTGTTGGAAACCCTGGCTAAAAGTAAAGAGTGTAGTTGAATTTGTTGTGATGGATCCACTTGTTGATCTGGCTATTACCATTTGCATAGTTTTAAACACACTGTTTATGGCCATGGAACATTATCCAATGACCAGCAATTTCAGTAATGTACTTAAAATAGGAAATCAGGTAAGTCATCAAACTATATAATTTGATATGGTTGGAACCTCGTTTCTCTTTGAAATATAATTACTTTAATTATTTTTATTATCTTCCTATAAAATAGATGTCAAAGGTTTATTGTGCTGAAAATAGTCTAAAAATACTGAGATACATGTATTTAAGAGTTTGATTTCTATATTAAAATTTCTGCAAATAGAGTTTTCAACAACCAGAGTTTGAATAACACAAAACCAAAAGAAGAAATCTGATTTGTTTCTGTTTAGTATTACAAAAAAAGTAGGAGCCAAATGATATTCCTTCTGCATTAAGCATCATTGGTAACACAAGAAGAGTTGGATGTTATTTTGGATTATTTTGCACTGTTATTTTTTGTTTTATTTTTGTATTTCCGTGATGAAAGTTGCTTTGATTGTCCCATAAAAATTTGACCATGCCTGTGTGTTTTACCCAAAAAATGCAACCATTATTTCCTTTCATATGTAATGAAGTAGTGCAATATTAATCTAATTTTGAGCTGGATCAGTAAATGTTCCTTCATGCTGGTAAGAATTTGTGTACTCCCAGTCAGCTAAAATTGCATGACAGTAGAGATGTAGTTTCAGCAGTTGATTTCTTGCTTTTTGAACTGTGTAGCACTATCTTTTAAAGACTGTCAAGTGCTCCTGATTTTTTTTAAAGATTTGTTCATCTTCCTGGGCAAATATAATAACTTATGCACTTCTGTAGATACTGGTGGTCATACATCTACAGTAAATACAATGAATTTACTCCTTTCTCAGAGGCACTGTTTGCTGCCGCCTTCAGAAGGCATCAGAGATATTCTGAGGCAGAAAGGAGGTTTACTTCAAACATGAGCCTCAGCTAAATTGGCCTTTCTTGGCAGCTAGAAAGAAAAGACGTGTACTATATCTGTGAATTCTCATGAAGACTTCATTTAATAGCATATCACTCTCCAATTTATGACCAATTCATATTTTTCTACGCACATTGTTAAAAAGCAGCTTCTGTTGTGGCAAGACCAACTGCTATTATCTTGCTGAGGAAGGTTCCTTTAATTAGATGGATGGCAGATATGAGGAGCAAACAGGAGGCCTGTGAGGAATAGTTTATTCTTCACTAGTCACTAAATGTATCTCAGGTTTAACTAAATAGAGTTATGCAACAACTCATATTGATGTTGCCACTTATGTTCTCTGTGTGGTTCACCTTATGATAATACTCTTTACGGACATCCTGCTGTAAGAGGATTGTTATTTCTTACTTAAGTTTTTCTTTGTCTGCTGGTTCAACTTATTCATACTAATCTATAAAGTAACAATGAACATTCTTCCTTCAGGTTTTTACTGGAATTTTTGCAGCAGAAATGGTTCTCAAGATAATTGCCATGCATCCTTTTTATTATTTCCAAGTTGGCTGGAATATTTTCGATAGTTTTATAGTTACCCTTAGTTTGGTGGAGCTTTTTCTGTCAAACGTGGAAGGATTATCCGTTCTTCGATCATTCCGATTGGTAAATAAGTTAGTGATAGTAATATATCTGCTAATGCATTATATTTGTATTTTAACTGTACGCATGTAAATAAGACACTATTATGTATATATTTTGCTTGGTGTCACAGAATATCTCTTCATACATGTTATACAAAATTATTTGTGCCAGCCTGTTATACAGTGATAAAAGTGATGCAGGAATTAGAAAATTCATATTTTTTAAATTTGCAAAAAGATTGATTTTTTTCTTTCCCCCCTTGGCAAAACTGAAATGCTTTATTTTATTAGAAAAGTATTTTTATGTTAAAAATGAGAAATGAACTCTGAAGCATTCTTTCCCTCTGGTATTTTTTCATTTTGCCTTTCTATTTTGCATTTGTCTCAAACCAAAAAATATTTAATACAGTATTTATTTTGAGTCTCTTACGGGTATGAATTATACTTTCTCCCTTTCATAAGCTGAAATGTTTGCCTTAAGGCTTATGTTTGGCTTTTATTTCCAGACTATGAGTCTGTCATACTTTTTAAATTTGTTGGAGGCAATACTCTTTCAGAAGACCCTATCATCTGAGTATTTCAGATTCCTTTATTTTCCTTCAGTAGAATCCTATTGGGCTTTATTGTTTTTCTTCAGTTTGTTTCTGCACATAGTGTTTGAGATGTATAGCATGTTCAGAATTCACTATCTGAATAAATTAAAGCAGTGCACTGTTTTTCTCATGTAGAAAAGAATACAGATATGCTACACAAAAATTAAGAGCAGAGTCTAAAATTTACTAAACTTTAAAAGCCTGTATTTTATGAAATTGTTTTTGTGTAAGTTAGGTTGTTAGAATCACGTTTTTTTGTTATTGCTGAGCATCACTAGTTCATAATCTATTGTTTATTTTATAGTGGTTTTATAACTACTGCAAATAACATCTGTACTTATCTTTTTCAGTTGAGAGTTTTCAAACTGGCAAAATCTTGGCCAACCCTAAACATGCTGATAAAAATTATTGGTAACTCAGTGGGGGCTTTGGGAAATCTGACACTGGTGCTGGCCATCATTGTGTTCATTTTCGCTGTGGTTGGGATGCAGCTGTTTGGGAAAAACTACAGTGACTGTGTCTGCAAGATCTCTAAGAACTGTGAACTTCCACGCTGGCACATGAATGATTTTTTTCACTCCTTTTTGATCGTATTCCGAGTGCTGTGTGGAGAATGGATAGAGACGATGTGGGACTGCATGCAGGTTGCAGGCCAACCCATGTGCCTTACAGTCTTCATGATGGTCATGGTGATTGGAAACCTAGTGGTATGTAGCCAAAATCATTTGAGAATTCATTTAGAGAAAGAATGGTAATAGAGCCAGTAATGAAGTTTCTAAGCATTATTAAATGTGTTAGTTTGGTTTTTTGTTTGTTTGGGGTTTTTGTAATGATTTTGAGTTTGTTACGAGTATGGCTTCTGAAATAGTTTTCTATTTGTTAGATTTCTGATCCTATATAGAATCCCTGTCTTGGATGCTGGACCTCCTCAGGGGTGTGGAGTACAATTTAGGGTGATAGAGGGGAGCATCGTGTGTTCAGGATTTTGTGCACTACTCCTGGTTACCTAGAGAGAGAGAATAGCAAAGGTGCCCCAAGGTGTTGCACTCCCAGGATGGGAGTTTGCTGTTTGCAGGAGAGAACATAGCAGGGCCTTCTCTCCCTAACTCCTTGAGTCATCACTTCCAATCACACATAGGCAGGTTGTATTTTTTTTTATTTTTCGGCTCTCTCCTGTTCAAAAGACTGCTTTAACATTCTTAGACTGAAATTTCAGATATTTTGAGCCCTGCTTGCTGCAGAGCAAAATTTTGAAAACACACGGGGTAAGGAAGCTTGAATTGGAAGGCAGTGGTTCTGCAGAGAAAACAGTTTCCATTACTTCAAGTTTTCTTTCACCTCTTCACCTTTTTGCTTCTTATTTCTTAATAAGAATTTCTTTATTTCTTCTTTTTACAGACACTTTTAAAATGGTTTGTATTATGTGTTTTTCTTTTTCAGAGGAAAGCATCAGATCTGTATCATTTTGTACATTACTGTGTATAAATTTGGCTTTTTAAATGCATTTTCATTTTATTAACTCACCTGTATTTGAGGCCTTCATTACTCTGCCTTTTGCTCTGCTTTTCCCATTGCCTACTGAGTCTTCCTTTATTATTCTACATCTTTTCCTTAAGTAACTGTCCATAGCAAAAGAGACTTGAAATTAGCTATCCTGGAGGCATTCTTTAGGAAAAAAATTTCTAACAACAGGAAAAAGCTTTAAACCAGTCATGCATTACTACTAGTAGCACAGCTGCTTGCTCCAGGATTTTCTACAAATCTGTTGTCTTACAGTGAAGAGAACTGTGAAGTTGATTGACCAAACAAAACATGCTCTCTCAATAGTTTGCTAAACTAGCAGATGGAGCTTTTTGTAAAGAAGTATCCATCTCTCTGATTTTTTTTTTTGGACAGTATTTACTGTATTCTGATTTTACACCATAGCTCCAGTAGAATTTCTTACATGAGTAGACAATCCCTGCTGTATGGTCAGGACTCTGTTATCCAGTTCTCTTTTCTTGTTCCCAACACATAGTTTTACACTGTTGTCTTCAACATTTGTAGAAGAGCTGATCTGAAGTCTTTAAGAGCTGGTACTTGGCTTCTTCGGCTACCCTAGGACCATTTGAGCTCCTACGAAACCCTGGGCTTGTATAACTCAGATCTATTCTATGTCCTGTCTTGTGGTAGGAAGAGAATGACTTGGGGGTTAAGAAATGGGGTGTGCTTCACATTTTTTAAGTTGCATACAGCATAATATTTGTGTGAGTTTGGACCAGCATTTGAGAAAGCTGTTTTCTGCATGTATCAGCTATGTCTGCTGTTACAGGGTGGTTCCCTATGCCTGAGAAGTAAACATTTTGGATCTGTTCAGTCAATACCAAAGAATCATTCATTTCTGACCTTCTACAAACACAAGCAGAAAAAATTTACAAGTGTCTTCATATTCCTACAGTAATGTAAAATCCCAAAAATCTTGCACTGGGGTGTAGGGCAGGTATTGAGTTAAAATTGCATTTACTTTTTATTTACTGTGTAATTTCCAGAATTCTATACAGCAAAGGAAAACATGAAGGCTAAGTTCATAACTGGTGATAAAAACAGCACATGAATGAAAATTAAGTGGGAAAATTCAGCTGTATTATCTTTTTCTTTTATTTAAGGTATTGAACCTCTTTCTGGCCTTGCTGCTGAGTTCATTTAGTTCAGACAGTCTTTCTCCTACAGAGGATGATAATGAAATGAACAACTTACAGGTTGCTGTTGCAAGAATTCAGAAGGGAATAGATTATGTGAAGAAAAAAGCAGGTGAATGCATCCAGAAGTCTTGTTGGGGAAAGCAAGCTGTTGTAAATCAAAGAACAGCCACAGATCATTTGAATGACGAGAGAGACCATTGCATTTCCAACTGTACCGTCACTGAAATAAGGATAGATACTAATTATCTCAAAAATGAGAATGAAATGGCCACTGTTATAGGTGGCAGTGATTATACATCATTCATAAACAACCCAAGCCTTACTGTTACAGTACCAATAGCTGTTGGAGAATCTGATTTTGAACATCTAAATACAGAAGAGTTTAGCAGCGAATCAGATTTGGAAGAAAGCAAGGAGGTAAGATTTAAATATTTTATATTTTGTATGAATGGATTATACCAATTGTATTCTTTCATAGTGTGGCTCTTCCTGCTTAGAAATAGAAAGCGATTGTGATTTGAGATTGTTGGAGAGTACTGAGAGTGAATAAACTGAAGTGGGACAGTGGAGCTAAAGAGAGTAGGAAATCCAGACAGAACTGTATAAACATATATGAACCTAGTTATAAAGGTATTTGAAAAATTTTCCAAATTTTTAGTTGGGTAGAAAAACTAGTATATATGTACAGAATAAACAGAGACAAAAAGACATGTTTGTTTCTATATAACCATAATATTTCCATGAGGTAAGGATGAAAGTAAACTGCTATTCAAAAAGAAGATATTAATAATAAAGAATTTTTTAAAGCTTAGTGAATTCTACAGAAACCGGCATTATTTGTACCGTATAATCTGTATAATCTAACAGAGGTGCTAACTCAGGCTAATGAGAGCAATAACAACACTTTTCAAGTTCTGAAGTTGAAATTATGGGAAAAAAGCCACGGGAACATTCATAAGAGGAATGTGTCAAATAAAAATTATGAGGAAAAAATATAATTACAGATTGAAAAAAATATTAATTGCTTGTTTGTTTGTGGGCGTTTTGAACCAGTCGCTTCAAAGACAACTGCCTGACCTTAAACTGGGTCAGCTTTAGGAAAGTAGTAATATGTCAGCAGGTGCAGAATGACAGGGGGAAGCAAAATCATGGATTTCAGC